ATTTAAGGTTGTATTAATTAATTGCTTGTATTTGAAAATTATGAAGACAATCATATGTGTAACATTAAACTACTACATTTGTTTTGCAAGACTTTCTGTCTCAGAGCTTACTTCCAAATGCCACACAGGCTTCATGTTAACTCTGAGTGGAAAAAACAGTTTTTATTCAGGTCTGGGCATTCAGGGCTAACAAAACCCTGTCCCCTCTCCCACCACCAAAACACATCCAAAGGTGTTGAAAGAGGTTTTAGGAGGAAGGCAAGCTGAAGGCAACAGTCTTTTATGTTATACCAATTTTGGCACGTTATGGATAAAGTTATTCTGTATTTTTCCTCTCTTATTTATTTACATGCATGCGTCTGCTGCTTACCTAACCATAAAACTGGAGACCATCGCCAGTCACACATAAACAAAATAAAACTGATTACACTACCATTTAGGGAGCACAACTCGCACTACAGCTTGTTTCATTTGTTCAACTTGCAACATTTGATCGTTTTTGGAATTAAAGCTTGTTTTATACTTAACCAAATCTCATTATGTCTTTTTTTTAACGGTTAATTCTGTCTTGGTAATTATTTTATGGAAACATTTGCAAGTGAATCAAGTTTGAAAAGAAATGACAGTACCAAACTAAAAACATATGATTATGAAAATAATATAGATCCAGAAAGTAATGTATTACATGGAACTAAAAATTGTAAATATTATATTTTTTCACTCATTTAATTGTAGAAGCCTCATTCAAATTTTGACAATATTTGAAATTATTTATAAGTCACTTTCAAGTAATAACATTGTCTGTGACCTTGTTAAATGGCAAATCTTTAGGTTTAGAGTTGGAGGGTTATAATCTCTTTAACACAAATCGAGTGAAGAGCAAAGGTGGGGGTGTTGCTGTATGTTAGCTGTTCCTTGAGATGTGAAAAACTAAATGTCATTTGCTTTGGATGACATGATAGAGAGTGTTATATAAGGCCAGGCTCTGATAGAAATAGATTTGAAAATCTCCTGAATGGATTAAATGATCAGAAAACTTGGTTAATATGTTGAGAGTTTAACATCGATTTTTTAAAACAACGACAACACAAAATGACTATTTTGCAGAAGTCGTGTTCAGTAGAAGTTTATATCCACTGATTACTCAACCAGCCAGAATAACTAGAACTAGGGCAACTGCGGTAATAAAAAAAAATTGGAAACGTTATGTGCAGTGGAATCCTAAGAAGTTATATAAGTGATAATATGGCTCTTTTTATGGTTCGTAACATAAAAGTTAAAAAGACTTAACTTTACTATTAAAAGTCTACTGCATGTTATGTCTCACTTTATATTAGACATAACATGCTTGATGTCTAACATGACATCAAGCATGTTAGAGACAATAATGAAATTATGTAATGACCTGTTAGAGAAAAACTGGGGTGGTGTTTCTGTGAAAAATGTGAATTAGAGTAGATTTATAAATCATTATATACCAAGAATTGCCCAATTTTAGTGTCTTGCAAAATATAAATGTAAAATCCTGGATGACCACTGGATTTTTAAAATCCTGCAAAAAGAAAAATAAGTTATGTAGAGTTTTGTCAAAATTTCAAACTAAACGAATGGGAATAAACTAGAACTTTAACAAAACCCAATTGACAATATTAATGTGAAAAAGCTAAGAAATATTACCATGACTTGAAAGACCAGTGGTGATATGAAAAGGATGTGGAAAACCTTAATACAATACAGACCTAGGTATATTTGTCCTGAAAACAACTTCTTTAAGGTAGAAATTACTTTAACCGAAAAGAAAAGGTTGTGAATGGGTTAACCTATATTCTTTTCATCAGAAAAATATTTTTTGTAACCTTCTTGGTGATTTTAATATTGGTGTATTCAAGGAAGATGCAATTGCAAATGAATTTTATAGAATTCTTCACTCCACTTCCTTTTATCTGACCATAAATACTTACACTAGAGTAACACAATCCTCAAGAGCTATCATTGAGAAAATCACAAATACTAAGCTGGAGAAAGAAAATTATCATTCTGTGATGATTTTATAATTATGTACCGGTACATAAATCTGCACCTTTACATCTAGAGATAACTAGTAAGGTGCTGAATGAAAGGACTCTGCTACAGCTTGGTGTAGGGCTTAATATTGATATCCTCTGAGACATCAATATTAAAATCACCAATAAGGATATTAGTATTTTTCTGATTTTCAGAAAAATACAAAGTGCTTTACATGGATTAGAGAAAATACAAATAAAATTAAAAAAAGAGAAAAAAAGTACCCAACAATCTATAAAGCAATGGGAGTTTCTCTGGATAAAGTAATAGAAACGAAAAGTTAAAGTATAAAACTACATATTAGTTACCCATGTTTAATAAGAACAATAATAAGAGTAGTCCATTATATGCTAGTAAGGGTTTCTCTGGATTCTTCTTCTCATAAAAGTAGATGTTGGTTCTCCATGTTTGATTCGATATTTTCTGGGTTCTAGTTTTTTTAATTAACAAAAGTCTCTCTAGGTCTTGCTCGGATATTAACAATTTATTTAACAATCATAAAAATGCATTTTTTATTGATTTGCGTTATAGAAAAGGTCCACGCTTGGTTTGTATTGAATGACAGAGGTCCTCTGGTTGCTGGTACAGATAAACACAAGTCTCCACTAAGTTACTCGAAAGTTTCATATAAACTCCAAAATGGTTGAATACATAAATCATAAGTTAAATTGAAGACAAACTATGTGACAGCAAAGAAGAGCGTGCTAGCAACAACTGACTCATAAAACATCCTCAGCATCAACCCACATATGTTAAAGGACTTTCAGCCTCCTCAGGAAAAATAGTCAGCTTTGCCCCTTTTTGTAGACCGCCTCCGTGTTTCTAGTCCAGTCCAACTTATTGTTAAAGTACACTCCCAGGTACTTATACTACTCCACAGTGTCAACAGGAACCCCCTGGATGGAAACAGGGGTCACAGGTGTTTTTGTCCTCTCAGATCCCCTATTAGCTCATTAGTCTTTGTCATGTTGAGCTGCAGATGGTTCAGCTCACTCCAAGTGACGAAGTTGCCCACCACAGTCCTGTATTCACTCTCCTCACCCTTTTCAATGCAGCCAACAATTGCTGAGTCATCAGAAAACTTCTGAAGGTGGCAGGACTCAGTGCAATAGTTGAAGTCCGAGGTAAAAAAGAGTTAAGAAGAAGGGAGAGAGGACAGTCCCCTGAAGGGCCCCAGTGTTTCTGACCACCCTCTCAGACACACAGTTCTGTAGGCGTACATACTGTGGTCTGCCCGTCAGGTAATCGACAATCCAGGACACAATGGGGGGCTCCACCTGCATCGCAGTCATCTTCTCTGGGGGTCTACACTTGCCTCCTCGACCTGGGGACGGAATAAACTCCTGGCCCGAACAGAGCAAGCGAACGTCATCACATTCATTAAATTTCATATTTAAAATATTGCTGCACAGCTTTTGTTGATGAGTGATGCAGTGGTAGCTCAAAAAATCCAGGAAAGATTATGAAAGCTTGCACAGAGCAACAAACCCAACGGTGCGCCCAACCATAGATGGAGCCCCATCAGTTGTGATACATATCATTTTGAAGAGAGGTAGATGCGACTTGCTGACGAACTCCATAAGAGTATTAAAAATATCCGACCCTCCTGTGTGCCCTTTCAAAGGCAAAATGGTCAGAAGCTCCTCTTTTGAGTCCATGTCACCAAAAACCATGCGGATGAAAACATACAACTGCAGTGCATCCACAGCATTAGTCGACTCGTCAAATTGCAAAGAAAAATAAAGGAAGGTGTCAATGTAATTTCTCAGCTGCTGTTCTATATCCAGTGACATGGTCTCACTCCACCTTGTAATGGTGTTCCTGGATAGTTGCATATCTTCAATAAAGGACATGATCTCCTTCGTGTTTTTGAAGTCAGTAAAAGGCGTGTCTAAGGCTTCCAAAAAAGCTTCCTTAAAAACGTTGCCATCTTTAAAACATTTTTTTGCTTTGCCAGAACTCTACTGACATGGTAAGGCGCTACCGTGGCAGCTTTACTCTTGTTGACAGGTCTCATAAACACTGCCTGCTTTGCGGCTAGTTGTCTCTTTAGGTTAGAAACCTTCTCATAGAGCTGATTTTGCCGGGAAGTCACTAGCATACTCCGCCCACGATCGACTGGTAGACCACGATCGACTGGTTGGGCACCCCTGCCGTAGAACATCTCCTGTGGAAAATATCTCAGCTCACACAGTGAGAAGGATCAGCCTCTCGCTTTGAGGAGAGGATCCCCTGTTCTTTAAAGGTGTGCTCCACCCTGTGAAGGAAGCTAATATCAATCAGTTGTACCCAGGATTTTGAGATTGTTTCCAAATTTCATGGCTATAGGTGAAGGAAAGAGAAGAGATTGAGCATTCACTTGAATGCTAAGATAAAAGGCAAAGTGCTTAATTTTCATCATATCAGAGTCTGTGTTGTAGTGGCCACACCAATTAGTGTGTCAATCTTGCGCTCCCTTGTCTTAAATACCTAGTGATACTGAAATTTTAAAAAGCCGTCTTGTCCATGGGTTTGATAATAAAATCATATTACTCTACCTTTTCTGTAAGAAAAAGTCACTGACTGTTTTGGCATGAAGCATGTCATTGACTATGAACTTCACATGGGAAACAGCTACGACAACTGGGGGGTCTGATTGGGAGATGTCACCCATCAGAACTGAAGTGAGACACCTTAGGCTCCTAATAGTTATCAAAAGGCCAAGTGTATCATGGCCAGGCCAGCTGCTGAGGGTAAGACAAAGGACAAGGAGGAGGACCCATGGAATGCTCAACACTGTTTATTAAGTGTTTCTAAGGCAGGAATCTATGCAGGTAGAGAACACATGTTAGTGACCACATCTAACTGGTGGAGGATGATTGAGAACATGTCAGTCACTAACCTAGTCTGAAAGTTCAGTCCATGTATAAAGGACAAGGTTGGTTCCAGCCGAAAAGATGCGGCAGACACTCTCCCAGAGGCCTGAGAACAGGCAGGAGATTAGACCAAAGCAGACAACGGAAGGCAGGATAATCCAGACGGCGAAGCAAAAGTCAGTGTCGAGGATGAGCTCAGGAGTCCGGGCCAGGAGATCAAAGATCCTAAGAGGTATAGAGAAATCCAGGACGGTATCAGGAATCCAGGGTCTGTAAACGGGTTGAATCCAGGAAGAGTCTGGAGACAGTTAAGGCAAACAGATCAGAACGGGAAAAGGCAGGCTCAGAGGTCTAGAGGCAGAATGGGTCAGAATTAGGCAATCAGAAACAACTAGATACGCTTGAAAATTATCATCAATGGCTCGAATAATCTGGCACCGTTGACTGGTATTTAGGCAGGTTAAATAAAGGCTGGAACATTTGGATCAGATGAACGGTAATGATAAAATGTGTGGCGCTGGGCAGGCAAATGAAATGAGTAATCAGGCCAGTCATGAGTGCTAAGATCATGGCATAGAGAAGGGCTGGGAGTCATCCTGAAAGCAATTCTGGCCATCTAACCTGTGCCTCAGGATGGTGGAGGAAAGCATTGGCAAAATTGTTTACACTGAGGATGGAAAAATGCTCAGCTGGAAAGGGTATATTTCCTGACAGACCATTGCAGAAAAACCACTGCTCGCTGTGTACTGCTATTAGCATTTAACACACTAAATTTGACTTTATTTTGTATGCACAGAGTGCACACAAAAGGAAATTTCGTTGCATATAGCTCACAACAATGTAATTACGTTGCAACTCAAACAATATATAAAGTGCAGCAGTGATAAGAATGTACAGAATAGTGTACAGACGAATAACAAGTGTGCAGAAGTATGAATGATTGCATGGTGAAATAATATTGGTGCAAAATGGCCATATTGTTCAGTTCCGCTTATGTTTGATGCAGCATGGCCACTGATGGGATGGTGATAAAAAAAAAATGATTAAAAATACTTTGCACAATTTATAAATTTCTTATGAATATTTTGGGAAATTATTAAGAATTTTTTTTTTTTTTTTTACTATTGTGTGTATATGGATTTTAATTTAATTATTTCGAGGCCTAATCAACACAACTTCATGAAAGTTGAATTGTCATAGCAATGTCAAACAAGCTAATGTTCACAGAGTAAAGAGATATCCCGCACTCGGCAGTAAAACTACATAGTCTAATGACAGATACGAGGAGTAAATATGACACATAAATGCATTTGGATTTATTTTTTATGCAGTGGATATGGAGAACTTTTCAATAATGTTTATATAGAATAATGATATAATTATTTCTTTTTGGTTTGTGTAAAAGAATTTTGGAGCTAATAGAGTCACGTGTGATACAAACACAGTGATTCAGGTTCATGCTAGCTTACCAAATCTATGTTGCTATAGTGTTATTGTGAAGTTTAATTAATAGCGCATATATTCACCTTAGAACTGATGATGTCTGTGAGTTACGTGCAGTGTTGTATAAAGTATTGAAATCTCAGAGTCAAGTAAGTATAAGTCAAGTATAGGTACCTCTCCAAAACATGACTTTGGTAAATGTCCAAGTCACTGACTGATCCAAATGCAGAGGTAAGGAAGTAGAGGTGAGTTTTTTAGATTTGATTGATCATTTATTTCGAACACTTAATAAAAAGCAAATAGAAGTAAATTAATAAAGTCATACAAAACAAAACAAAAAAAAAGAAGAAAAAGAAAATTTAATGTAGTAATGTAGATTTAATGTAGATTTAATGTAGTACTCACGGGCAAATGAGGCAGGAATCCAAAAATCCAACACCAAACCCAAAAACAAAGTCTGGCCGTGAAGCCAGAGACAATGCAGTGTAAGATGCAGAGTCAGGTGGTTCTCTCAGCAACCTTTACTGCTGTGTGGGTGATCAGCACAACTGAATAGAATATAAATCCACAACATCCAACCCAGATCAGCATTGAACATTAATATCCCAACACACAAATCAAAGAAATCTGAAATCAGTTCCTTGACGTTTTCTGAGAGGATTAACAGTGTTTCAATAAAATACCAAAAATACTCTCCTTCAGAGCATGGTGGTGCCTTGCGATCCATGCACAGACCAATGTGCATAGGGTTTGGGCCCAGTCTGGTGACCTTTGCTTCATGTCCTCTCCCTGTCTCCCTTATCCCATTTCTTGTCTAATTACTTAAAAATAATAATAACACAAAAGACCACTAGAAAGCAAAAGTAATTTTAAAAAAAATCTCTCCTTATTTTTCCTACCCACTCCTTTAGACATGAATACTGAACAGAGATTCAGAACATGTGAGGTTTAAAGTCAGTTCTGATTGGCTTGTCACACTTTGCCTTTTCTCTGGAAAGTAGAGCACTATAAGAGATTTTATCAGTGAAGCATAGGCATTTAACCAAAACGACTCCCCTCAGGTTTATTTGTTTAGTGACATATCTGATCTTGGAAACCGTAGGTAAGTTGTGTCTTTTGTAGTAATTTGTTGGTATTGCAGTACATTCTTTTATATTTAATAACTCCCCATCTAAGTAGAAAGTTTTGTTCTACTTTTTTCTTTCAGCTTACTTGGATGTTCAAGGACCATCGCCATCTTTGCATTTTAAAGCAGTTAACATTGGCTTGAACATCACTTTAAAGTGTCTCTATAAAGAATCTGATGGAGTTATTTTCTACTGGTATAAGCAAACTCTTGGGCAGAAACCAAAGCTTATTTCAGAGTTTTATAAGTATAAGAGAAATAGCTCACTTAAAGGTGAATTTTGGAAAGATCCACGATTTGACCTGGAAACTGGCACGGATAAAAATAACTTGAAAATCTTGAATGTACAAATGTCAGACTCTGCTACTTACTACTGTACAGGAATTCATTCGTATGAGTATAAATTTCTAGAGGGCATTATACTTCATGTAATGGAATCAGATCTGAGTGTTTGGACTCCCCAGCTCGGATTTGAAGATATTCAATCAGAAGGTTCTGTGTCTTTGGGCTGCAGAATTCAAACTGGAAGCTGTAATGAAGGATACAGTGTTTACTGGGTCCAAAGCTCAGAAGAACATCTTCCAAGAATAATTTACACCCAAGACGCAACTGATGAACACTGTAAGAGAGAGAAAACCACGCAAACAAATAGCTGTGTATACAGCTATAACATAGAGAGCATGAATGAATCCCATGCGGGGACATACCACTGTGCTGTTGCCTTATGTGGACATATCCTTTTTGGAAAGGGAATAACGCTCGACTACAAGAGTAACTTATTATTGTTATTATTATTATTTTTTAATATAGTCTTACAATTTACATAGTTGTGGTCATCACTGTATCTTTTTCTTCACTGTTTCTCTGCAGAAAAGTTCAATACATCTGTCATGGTGTATGTCTTAAGTGGAACTTTAGCCTTCGTCACCATGCTGGCATTTTTTCTGGCAATTATACTTTACAAGAAATCTTGCAAAGGTAAAATTTGGCAATCATTTAGATTTATAATCTAAGAAATTATAATAATTTAGACATGACTTTGTTCATTTTTAATTGCAGCTTTAAGATTTTTTACATTCTAACTTCAATTACTTTTTCATTGTAGATTATGGATAAATCTTTATTGAACACCACTTGCTAAATAAGTTAAAAGAATTATCAGATTAACAGCCTGTCATATTTCTCAAAAAGTTTTTTGCTGATTGTATTTGTATCAACAGAGCCTCCACAGAGATCTTCACCAGCCTCCTCTCTACAGGCAAACGTGAGGTTTTTGTGTGCTTTATTTCTCATTATTATGTTTCACAGGTTCTCAGAATACTAGAATGCAACAGATAAAGCAGTGTAAATACTAAGGAGGATAGAAAAGTCAAGCATAAATAAACAGGGTAGAAGATAAGTTACAGTAAAAAAATAGGAAAAAAAAAAACAACAGCCAAAAAAGTTACTGTATACCCAGAAATGAATACATTTTTATTTTAAATAATTCAAACTAAATTTGATAATTAAAATGCTAAAAAATAAATTATTTAAATGAATAAATATGTTTTTTTCTCTATTTTTTTAAAGGCTAAAAAATAGAGCAAAAAAATTATTTATCTAAAAACAATTTATCTTAAAAAAAAAAGCACTTTTGTAATTTACTTATTTTTAATGTCAGATGTGGGGTCTGTTTTACAAAGCACATTTAACAAAATCAGATTCAAATCTGCAACTCTAAATCGATCTAGGCTGAGTTTTTGGTTTCAGACTGGCTGCTATAAATTAGTTCAATCGACCCTAAGTAGGTCCACTCAGAGGTTAGTATGTGCATAACAAGTATAAAAAGCCATTATCAGTGGAGCCCTTATTCCACAAGTCACCATGACAACAGGAAACACACCAGAAGAGAATTTAAGTGGGAAAACAAAGGGAGAATGTTTAAAAGACAGAGAAACAGCTCTACAGCTGCAAAGGAGAGGAAGTCCGCTTTGGGCATTTATTAGAAGAACTCTCCTCTCTGTTTTTAGATTTGTAGATCACTAAGATATGATTCTTCTTGATAAAAATCCCATTCCTAGACGGAACTGCAATAATATATTTTCTAAATGACATTCTTGTAGTAGAAACTGAATTTCAGAAAGCAAAAAACGAAATTATTCTAGTTAAAATAGAATAAAGTTTAATATACCTAGACATGTTTACACATTTTAAGAGCCGTTTTGACATTTATCGACTTGAATGAACTTATATTATGCTATCTGAAATACATTTCTTCATAGTCAATATAATAAAAATGTTGATCAGTAAAAACAGGAATATCGAGATCCTAAATTAATTTCTAAACATCCAGAATATTTATTTTAAATGGTTATTTTGACAAGTAAAATTTATTTTTTTCAGATATCCGGAGAACATGTTCAGTAAAAGTAATAAATATGAAAATGCCTTGCCATAGCCTCTTGTGACCACCATAACGTTACGGGTTTATTTCTTGAATGGCAGTGGATCAATTTATTCAATTTAGGTGAAATCATCTGGAAGCAGGTGAAGATGAATTCTACAAACTTTGTTCTAACAGATAAAACCTGGACATCATCTCATGGGGTTCTTCAGTTTGATTCTGTTTTCTTTTACACAGTAAATACTAAGTGGCTGTTTCCAGCTGCTTCAGATTAGGGTTGGGAATTGAAAAGATTTTCACGATTCCGATTCCCTTTTCGATTCTATGAAATGATTCGATTCTTTATCGATTCTTTTTTCGATTCCAATTTGGGGGAAAAAGGAGAACAAACAGTTTGATTATCAGCATCAACTTTGTTTACTTAACTATTGCACAATCTTACAAACTCAACAAGATCAAGATGTCCACAGGAAATGTGAAACTGGAGTAACATCTGTGTTTAAATGAAAAATAAATATACAAGAACAAACTTAATAACCAACAATGTCTAATAACAAATGATGGGATAATAACCTATTTTAAATAACAAAAAATACTAATTATAAAAGAGTAGTAGGGAAAATTAACAGTTATTTTGCAGAAAGATGAGCATATCTGCTTTTTCTGGAAGGATACAGGATCTTTCAGGGCTTATGGTGTCTCCAGCCGTGGAGAACACCCTCTCAGATGGGGTGGAGGAAGCCTGCACACAGAGGTAGTTTTCAGCCAGTCAGATAGCAAGGGCAGCGTATCTTGCTTGTTCCACCACCACAGTGTGGCGCTATCCCTGCAGGGGATGGAGGGCAAGCTTTTATAGAGCTGGATTTCCTGATCTACCCTCTGGGCTAAGGAAAGACGGGGCTTTGATTCACAAAGTGACCGCAGCTCGTTGTCTTCCTCCTCGAATAGTTCTTCCAACTTGCGTAACTTGCGTAACTTACGTAACTTACGTAAAAAACGTGACGTAAGTCGTGCTCCCCAGAGCCGGCGCTCTAGGCTCTGGTGCTGCGGGAATCGAAAAAAGAATCGTTCAGTGAGCTGCCAAACGATGCCATGGAATCGGAAAATACGGAACCGGTTCTTAACAGGAACCGGTTTTCGATTCCCATCCCTACTTCAGATTTTATCATCCAAATAAATGGTGTTATTAGAAGGTATCAGTCCTATAGAATGGTTTCGGTTTGTGACAGTAGGCTGAGTACATTGTTATCCCTGAATTAATCCTAACCTTAAAGTAATTCCATGAATTGATCTATTCATGTGTAATCTGAAAATGATTTCAGTAGTTCATGTACGATAAAATAAATGCATAAATAAAAATAAAATGATCTGCATGTTGCTCATATTAAACAAAAAAACTAAACAAATCTAATATCCTATAAACTGAGTGCTAGAATCCTTTCCATTATTAATGCTATGCGAAAAAAATTGCTTTAATCATTCTTTAATAAGATCGATGTTTCTTTTTAAAAATGTATGTGTTTAACGGACCCAGTCAATTCTTATTATTATTATTATTATTATTATTATTATTTGTTTTTATTTCTACACAAGACTATGACAGAAATCTGACTAAATCAGGAAATAAAACAGCTTAATTGGCTCTAAGGAGACAGAGGATACTCCGAGCTTAATGAACAATACGGGCTCCCGAAAAGGTTAGCTCTGGGGAGAATGTTACTATGGTGACTCATACGGAGGTTTGTTAAACTCTCTTTTTGAAAAGGAAAACAGATTTTTAGGTTTAGAAAACATTTGAGTTTTCAGTAATCCTGCTTCATGAAATGGACCCGTGGTCTTCCATAGTATATAAGACTTCTGTTTGTTTGAAAAGTATAACAAAATACCTTACCTTTATCTAAGTATTAGGTATTTACTAGGCTAACATACTAATTGATTTTGTAGCTATCAGTACCAAATTATTTTTAATGGTATGCTGCAGCATAGGGTGATGTTAAAATTCCACCTGTCAGTTTGACCTTAGAAGTAATTTGACTTTTCACACTTAATGAAATTATTTTAATTCAACCCTCATGGAAACTTGACCAAGCCAATTACTCTGTTTCATTAAATGAAAAAAAAGAAAACACAAATAAAACACTTAATATAAAGTATAAGAACATTTGGAAAATTAAGAATATTCAAAAAATGAAACTGATGTTTTCACAATAAAAGTATATAACTTTATTCCATATAACTTCATTAAAATATTAGTTTTAAAATCGGAAGCCCCTTCGGGAAGTGTTCCAGGCATCGGAAGGAGGCAAAGTAAATGACCCAGGACATGCATGAGGGACAATGTCCCCGAACTGACGTGGGAGCACGTCTGGCTTCACCCAGCAGATCTGAAAGAGGTGCCTGGAGTGAGGGAGATCTGGTGGTTTCTGCTTGGGTCTCTAGCCCCTATGACCCTGTCCAAGATAAAGCGGAAGAAGACAAGTACGGGTACCAGTAGTTGTAAAACACAAAGAAAGGTTAAAGTGTTTTAAAGTGAAACAGATTAAAAATATAACTCAAATTTAGAGTAAAATTAGGATGCACTGAAATGATGAAAATAGTATTAGGTATTTACTAGGCTAACATAATAATTGATTTTGTAGCTATCAGTACCAAATTATTTTTCATGGTATGCTGCAACATAGGGTGATGTTAAAATTCCACCTGTCAGTTTGACTTTAGAAGTAATTTGACTTTTCACACTTTATTTAAATCAAGCCTCATGTAAACCTGACCAAGTCAATTACTTTGTTTCATTAAATTAAAAAAAAAGAAAACACAAACAAAAGACTTAATATAAAGTATAAGAACATTTGGACATTTGGAAAGTATAAGAACAAAATTAGGATGCACTCAAATGATGAAAATAGTTAGCAAAAATCCTTGGCCAATTTAGAAAAAGTATGTGCAATAAAGATAAATGCATCAGGATAACATAAAACGTTTTAATGGAGTGACGGTCATACATTTAAAGTGTCATGTATTGTTTTGTGGGTGATTATGACAGCAACTTAAAAAAGATTAAGTGAAGTACAAACTACTGAGATGATGGAATGACACAAAGCGCCTGTAGGAGCTTAAGGTAAATTCACAAGGTCTGGACTGCCACTAAAATCATGTTTACAGGATATGGGCTTCAACTCCCAAAAACAAAGTTTTTAAGCTACTCATAAGCCAGAGGAAAAAAATAAAAAAATTTAGATCTTCCTTTCAGTTCTTGTGACTGGGCACCTACGGCCTTACCGGTCCCCAGCCCCCCTTCTCCAGCTGAGGGCGGGTGGCTCATGGCTCTGTGCTGACGTCCGGTCCAGTCAGCAGCCCAGCAGTCGAAACTTTAGATATCCAAATCTGGTCACCCTAGATTAAATCAAAGGTCAAGTTTAATTCCACTAAACAGCACTACCCCTGCCTATTTCAGGAAGTGGTAAAACAACAAGAACTACTGTTAACTGAGTTGGGTAATTAAAGATTAAAGGATAAGTGCAGCACAAAGCTCTCATAAATCTATCATGTCTTTTTTGAAATCTCTTTTTAACTGATGAAGAAATTCTGACAAATTACAACAGGCTGAGGGAAGATAACAGCATTTGCATTTGGACCGCATGCATTTTCCAGACAGACAGAGCCCTTGAGAAATCCCCTACAGCACATCACCCACAAGTTGGTGCTGAGCTGAAAATAAACCCCTTTGATTCTGTAGTCCAGTACAACATTGTCCCAGATTTTTTAGTTAGAAATATAAGATATAATATCTATAATATATTCATCAATCAGTAAAATAAGCTCACCAAATATTAGTAAGGCACTATCTCATTCAATGTAATGTTTTGAACTACAATGACAATGACACTGACAATACAGAGATTCTCCTGAAAATTTTTAGGTATAACAGGTGTTTAAAGGAAAAAAATATAATTCCTTTGTTATCTGGCCAATTAATAACATTACTTGAAAAAAAATAATTAGGTTAAATACAAAGTCTTATTTTAAAAACATATATTTATTTAATTACACCATGGTCCATGAGATTTCCAATCTTACTTGCAGTGCTTTTTTGGTGCATATGGACACCATATTCAGCATATTAAATAGTTGTTAAATCCCTCCACTTCATCTTTCACCGTTGAACATTCCAACCAGCCGTTTTTGATCTGCTGACTTAACAGATGAATACGAGGCACAGTGGTACAGTAGCATGAAGTTTGAGGTAAATTGTAATATTTTTGGCAGAAACAAAACATTTGATAAATAAGAAGAGGAGAGCAAACAAGAACAGGAAATGCAACAGGACCATGTTATAAGCAGATTCAACAACTCAAAGCTGTGCATTGTTTGTTGTTGTTTTAATGCACTCTGCAGAGGAACACATCTCTGCTACACATCGACGTGCTGTGACCTCAGCGTCGTGCAATAAAACCATGTAATGCACAGCTCCATGCTGTTCATGCTTAATTAAATTTAGTTTTGAGAAGAACTCAGAATGGAGGAAAATTCTACTGGTAAAATTTTAACCAATATAGACATGTTAGACATCATTGGAAAAGCTTAGATTCTCCACAATTCAACAGCCAAGTTAATTTTATTTACACAGTGAGCACATAAGCACAATAAACACAGATATAGCAGCATGTCAAAATATAAACATGACAGTGACAGCTTAATAACCTTGAAGGCAACCAGAAGCAGTTTTATAAATCCAATCTTCAATTGTTAATACTCCATTCGTCCATAAGGGTCCAAAGATAAAAAGTAATCCAGGCACATTTGGAGAGGTTTGGAGATGCTGGTGACACCAAAAGTTCAAAACCCCACAGCTCTGTAACTGTTGTAGCTAGAGGTCTGAAATTGTCTGCACTTGTGGTTGACATGATTTAGAATAAATTAGTGCTGTTAAAAAAAAAAACTATCAATTTCGAGAATAAAACAACTTTGAGTCATGTTTGAACTGATGCAGCTTGGTCTGTGTTCTGCTCATCCAATTTTAATGTATATATTCAGAAACCAGAGGGTGTTAGCTTTCAAATAATTATTGCATGTGTAATTTCGTCTTACAGTTCCTAAGCTATTCACTTTTCCATTTGGGTATGTGAAATAGGTGAAAATTTCCCAAAATCAGTTGAATGCTAATGGAGGAATATTTTATCTAACATCTTATTTGTGCTATTTGTTTTCTTCCCAGGTTTACGAGCATGCAGATGATCTCCATTATGCTGCTTTAAGCCTTAGTGGGGCCAGGGGCTCAAGAAGGTAGAGGGACAACCCTAATGTAATTGTGTAATCTGGTGTGAGGCTTTAAAGCTACATTTGTATCAGTTTTCCTGTTGGCATTAGAACTTAAATAGATAATATCTCCTTCTGATTAGTTTGAAATGTGAATATTCCAACTTATTCAGCTGTATTTAATCTTTGTCATTTTAATATCACCAAATGTTTCAAAGTAGCTTTATTTCCACTTTTTTGTATTCTTTTATAAAGATTTTCAATTGTTTAGTCAACCTCAAGGAACTCAAAATAAACATTAAAATTGCCTAAGTTGTGAGTCACTAAGTTTCAAACTGCTATAGGTATTAAAGGCAACTGTTCAAACTAAAATCGTGTGACTGTGTAAGCATACTTATGTCATTTCTTGTACAGGAAGAACATTTTATTATTTGGTTTGTCTTGTGATTCAATGAATCTGTTACAAGGAGAAAGATTTTACAGAAATGCAACAACAACCAAACGGATGACTAATGGTGTCACAGATTCAATGCTTTCTTTCAAACTAACAGAAAAACTTATGATGAATATCAAGCAAACGCCAGCAGGGTTTGTTGGTCTTTTTTTATTTTCAGAAATCAGTTTATTCCTATTTTGTCAAGACACAGGACAGAAGGACACAGTATTCAAAGCGAGACAGACGGTGGGATTAAGGGCGAAGGTTTGATTTCAACTTTGGTAGGGACACTATTGGTCCTCAGTTTCATTGGTCTGATGTCATTGGTCCTGTGCAAAAATATGCATGCTCTTTTTCTATGCTTAATGTGAGCATAAGGGTACATTTTGTTTAAAGAGAACAGCAGCATTTATGGCTACATTAATGCAAATCTTATAAGCCCTTCACACATTAGATGCTGTTTATCAATGTTTAAAGCATCCGTAGCTCTGACAAATGTGTAATTAGGACTTTTTTCCACTTTGAAAAGGTTTGCATTTAAACTTACCAGCGACTAAGATAGTGCCTATTTAACCAAATATAGTCTAAATATGTCCACTATACGTGGATTCATCCTGTGTTTTCTTTTGAAGGTATAGAATTGCGCAGAGGAAAATCAGAGGTAAACCCCAGTTTGCAGCCCCTTTTTTATGGTAACACATTTCTTCCATAATACAGCACTGAAGGGACAGCTGTTTCACCTTGAGGCTGCCCTGCATCATTATATCTGTTTCCTACAATCATATAATGTTTCTATTATGCTAGTGCGCTTTTAATATTAAAGGATTAAATGTAACACAACCTTTTATCATCATCCTATATTGGTTACTGTCTGACTGTTTAAATAGCTCCTTATGTCTATTTTCCTTTTTTTAGTGGTATTATCTACAAACACAACACTAAGAATAAGCCTAAGTTTATTCAAATATAAAATCAAATTTGATAATTATAAAAACAATATAACACTATCTTATCTGTAATGTAACAGTATCCAAAATAAACAACAAGATTCAAGCATTATTTACCAGAAATTAATGTTTGTACTAATTTACTTATGGACTGTATGGAAATCTAGAAAAATAGAATTAATGTAAATAGAGTTCCCCTGAATGTCTTTCTCATATTTCTAGAAGTAGAATTCAATTAAATAGCACTATTTGTATGTGGAAAACAAAAAATCGCAGACCTTTAGCATCCTTCTCGTTTTGTTATACCTAAACTGCCGTCAAAAATGGAAACAGTAATAGCAAAGAAATATTAGTAAAAAGGAATAAGTAATTTTGATATCTTAGAGTCTTTGCTTATCCATTTTTACAGCAGTTTTCAGAACTCCTGTCTGACTAGGCTGTTTTTAGCCTAGATAATATTTAGTTTTTTAATTGATACTAGTTTTCAGCCTAATATCAATTTTGGTAACCACTGTATTCTAGCATCATTGTTTGTTTGTGTTTTGCACTCCAAGCACGCACGCGCACACAAATACACACTATAAAATAAGCAATCAGAGAGAGAGAAAGCGGAACTTTAGGCAGAAAAAACAGAGAGTGGAGTTAAACAGCTCAGCACAGTTGATGCGCTGCTATGTGAAAGGTACAGGGAAGATCAGTCAGCTGTAGCTACCAGGCAGAGGAGCTGCGAGAGGAAAAGAAGCAACTGCTGCAATACCGCTGTATTGTAAATTATAAAAATGTTTTTCACATCAAATTATTGGTATAGACAAGAAGGTTGGTCCAAGATTTTGGTAGGGACATGTCCCTATGGTCCCCATGCAAACCTACGCCCAAATCAGAACAGGAAGGCCCAGAGGTCCAGGAGTCTGAATCCCAGTCAGGGATAAAGATCAGAACACAAACAGGTTGGCTCAAGGTTCCAGGGGTCCACAGACAGTTCAGGCAGACCGTTCAAACGGGAACAGGCAGGCTCAGTGGTTGAGAGGCGGAACAGGTCAGGATCAGGAAGTCAGAAACACTATGCTATGCTAAAAACCACTCTCTCCACTGAGATCAGACAGGAACAGGCATGCTCAGTGTATGAGAGGCAGATCCAGTCAGTGTCAGTGTCAGTGAAATCAGAAACACTATGGTAACCTAAAAACCCATTTCACCACTGGGAACAAGATAATATGGCCCTGAAAGCTAGATGCAAGTACATTAAATAGAGTCAGAAGCAGGTGGATCAGATGACCGTTAATGAGCAACCAGGCAGAGTTAGACAAGTTAATGGAATAAAAAAATTAAGCTAACCATCAGGGCCAAGATCTGGAATTTTTGGAATTTAAAGAAGGTACAAAGACAGACAACTCATGTACAAAAAAACTATTACTGAAAGCAGTAGCACATAAAAAGCCAAAAAACGAACTTTTAGGGTGAAAATGTATGTAAAGTGCACTGAGACAATACATTATGACTCTGTAATATTAGGGTAATATACTGAGTTTTAGTCCAAAATAAGCTGTCCTGGAGTCAAGGGAACTATACATCAGTTGTTCAAATTCTAACACAGTTTAATACATTGGATTCTTTTAGTTTGACATCAAAGGTACAGTGTGTAATAATTGCAGGGATTTACTGACAGCAATGCAATATATTATCCATATTTATGTTCTGTATTTTTATGTACATTTACCTCTGCATTTAACCTTGGGGTGCAGTGGGCTCCCACTGTACGGTGCCCGGGAAACAGTGTGGGGGGTTAAGGTTCTTGCTCGGGGACCCAGAGTGGAGGCTGTGGGGATTAAACCAGGTACATGCAACTTTCTCAGAGCACAAGCGCACTGCTCTAATGACCAGGCAAACACTCCCCCTTATCAGATATGATTTGAAAGTCTCAATCTTTATGTTTGCCTTACCCCAGAAATTATAATTACATAGGAGTCCACTTGCATTTGTAGCACATAGCCAAAAAGGCAGGCACTTGAATGGGATGGCGGCAAGTTAGGCCTTCATACAATCCTACACAGACTAATAATAAAATACTATTTATAAAAAAGATCCATGTGAACTAGGTTTACACTGGCCAAGACCAACAACCTCCTGGTTATTATGAAGACAGTCACTTTCGGTTGTTACGTTTTTGATAAGGTTTTTTTTTTCTGAATGGACTTTCTTCGTGCTCGGACCATATTTGTTTTGGTCAGAGTACCCATAACAGGGTACAAATCCAATTTCAGAAGATGAAAGAGAGCACATACATTAACCATATATGGTCTACCAGACATCCTGCAGCCAGTTCCAGTCTAGACTTAAATTTTCCTAATTACTCCCTTCACATATGCAACCTTGTGACAATATTACATGCTTTCTACAAAACCTTCATCCATTGTTAATACAAAAACACCACACTTTGTGATTGGTTAGATTTTAAACAATGGTGTAACAGAAGAGTTTTACAAGTTTTGTCGCAGGTGCATTGTCAGGACTCAGTCAGCAGAGCCATACTGTTGCTGGCCCTGTCTCTGTGTGTTTTTCTCCGCAGGTGTTTCCAGTTGACTGGTTTTTAGGGTACACACACCTGGGTTGGTTCAGCAGCACCTTGCCGCGCTACAAGCACCGCGTGCAGACAGCAGGAGGACGCCAGAGTGTTACCAGTCGAGGTATGACTGCAGGCCGCTGCCTCCCCCTTGAAACTAGCTTTCTCCGAGCTAACCGCCTACCTTCTGTGTCTCCCAGGTTGTCATCTGGGTTCTCACGCTACCTTCCAGAAGGTTCCTCCTGAGCAACCTCCAAACTGAGTCCATCTTTCGAGCTCATCGTTCACCCCTAGTCTGTCTGGTTCCTCCTGGTGCCCTGGATCTCTGGATCGGCGGAGCTGCATGGACCGCCCTCCGCCAAGCCCACCAGTCTCTGGATCACCAGCCACAAACACAGCTGCACGCTGAGTCATTCCGTCCCTCCCCGGTCTGGTTGCTGCACCCGGTGGTAAGTCTGCGTTTCCTTACTCGTATTCCTGGTGGTCCTCCGCCCTCTAACCGTCTTCCCTTTCTTGCAGTGGTTGGGGGTTCCGACCCGGCTTTTCCTTGCCTTCTGTAAGCGTCCCTGTTTTAATAAACTGTTGAATCTGATCCTTGCCGCCGAGTATGTTTCTGCATGTGGGCCAAACATATTAAGCCAAGTATGACATGCATATTGTCTGAACAATGTAAGATCCAAATCATACCTTTTTTTTCTAACTCTAAGTTATGGACTTCTTCCTGCGTCCTTTCACTTCCTCTTTCTAGGTAAATAAAAAAAAATGCATTTTAATCATTCCTTTTATCATACCTTCTACACAGTTTGTTTCTATATAACCCCTTTTTACCCGTAAAAATGATTAGTACATAACTTTACAGCATTTGTACTGCACACTCAACAACAACTTTTTTTTGTCAAAAACCATTTCCAAAGCAACAAGTGGAATCCAGCAGCTGTCTTTTGGTTTCCTGAAAAAGAGTATTAGTAGTATTTAGTAGTATTAGTAGTAGTATTAGTAGTATTTCCTCTATTATATTGTCATAGGCCCTTTCTCAATTCACAAAAACACAGGTATGGACTTGTGTTCTTGCCAAGTATGTTCCTAACAAGAACAAAGTACGAATGGACACAGATATATGTTATCATAAAATGATACCAGGATGACATTGATTTTGCCAATATCACAGCAGATTCACAGTTTATTTCTGTATGACCACACATTTATGGCTTTACTAGACAGAGGTGTACAAGAAGAGCTGGTGAGTTCAGGGTGACCCTTTATTTCCTCTTTCACCAGAAAGTCAGATGTTTTGTTATATTTAAAGAAATTCCA